AAACAAGGTAATTTTCAGAGATGTGAATACTTTATTTTCCAACCAAACTTCTAACTGTATTTAGCCATTGGCCTGGCAGAAAATGCTGTTTGTGCTGTTTGTTAGTGAGTCAGTGTGCTGGGTTCTTTGTCAAAAAGTCTCCAAATTAAATACACTGTAGACAACATCTGGAAGTAAGAACAACCATTTCTCCACTGGGAGCATCAGCCAAGACCAAACTATTCTTCGATCATCACATCTGGAAAATTATTGGGACTTCCTTTTATTTTACATTAATTACATCCAAACTCAGATGTTCAACTGTGCCTTTGTCTTTTTTAATGTAGCTGGAACCTGTTCAGTTTGACACTGAAGCATTTGCCTCTGGATGGAATTCACTGTCCAGTCAAAAACATCAACAAAATTACGCCCTGTTTACTTTAGTCTGTCAACACACGAGATGTTTAGATCCTGCCACTGCTGCATCTTCCTGTCCATGAATGTGCATCCATAGAAACAACAAAGTAAAGATGCAGAAAGTGTTAATTAGGAATTCCATCCTTCAATTATGACGCGAATGTTTCAGAAAGACGACATACGATACAGGGATCATAACATTTAACTTCACAGACAGTCAGTCCTCTATTGTCTTTGAGACTGTATTTTTGGCAAGCAGGAATATCGTAACAGGGATCCAGTTTTGTTCCAAAATAACACTTAAAATTGTGTATATTTGTTAGGAAAACAAGCAATCCTCAGTGAAATGGCTTCTGCTGTTTAGACTGCACCCAAAACAAAAAGCAACAGAGGAAACTATCATTTTAGCCAATGTTTAAAAAGAAAATACAAACAGATTAAGTTTATTTTTGGAATGTTTTATTCCTTGGTATTTGAATTTTTAAATGACTCTATATGGCAAAACGCTATCATGTACATTTTGTTCTATATCTTTACAAAACACTTCAAAAATAGCACATATGACTATTTATTTCAAAACTTTAGAACTTGTCGACAGTCTTTTTCATTAACACAGAACATCTTATATATATGAATTAGTTAAAATAAGGTGTGTTGATTGTGAAAAGATCCGAAAAAAATCAGCAAGAAAATCATTGTACATTATCACTGTTCTTATAAATATTAGGACCATAATTATTAACAATACATCCCAACGTGTTGACAAAAGGCTGAACTGGAAATCAGACAATTTTACTATTTCACCACTGCTTGTTTCAGATTTGATGCCCAACAGCACCCTTCATGGCCTGATGACTGTGCGAGACAAATGCTGACTCAAGCTGTTATAGTTCAATTTAGTGTATTTTAGCTCTTAATCTCCCTGATCTTCATCATATTAACTTTCACCTGAGTTCTTCAGGAAAACATCAGGCTGCCTAAAACAGCTTCAAAGTTTTCAAAACTCTACAGTGTCAGCAAATCCGCTCAATTCTGGTTGCTTCTGGTAATGTCATTAACCTTGACTGTCCATTTGTGCATTGATATTAAGCATAGTTCAATTTCAATTAACCTGAAACTGAAGTTTTAACTTCTCAATCATGAGTATTGGACTGTGGAGGAAACTGGAGTACCCTGAAAGAGCCTACACATGGCTTGAAGTAAAGAAAAGAATGAAAGTGATGCTTCATTTGGCTACTTTTCATCATCTGGAGCAATATGTGCTTAAAAGATTATATGTAATAAGCATTCAGATTCAGTAGATGCATCATCTCCTTAAAGCAGGAATGTCCAAAGTTGGTCCTCGCGGGCCGGCATCCTGCATGCTTTAGTTCTCTCCCTGGTTTAACGCACCTGGATCAAATGACGGCTCATCAGAGGCCTAAGAAGAACATTGACATGCTCAGAAGGTTGTTACTACCACCAGGGAGAGAACTAAAACATGCAGGGACTGACTTTGGGCACCTTTGCCTTAAAGCTTGGTTCTTTAAGTTAAGACAAAGGGAGCTTCATTCATCCCGGTTATCAGTTGTAGACAAATGACCACAGTAATGTTATGAGCTGCATGTCATTTAAAGCTTTAATGGACAGATAAAGTCACATGCACCTTCCTTCCCCTTTGAATAACAGCCAGCCATGGTGGATCATGTTACTAGAGCCAGTCTGTGACTATTACCCCATGAATGAATTGAGATGAATTGTTCCTGGACTTGGTTGTATGCCAAACTAGGCTGCTTGTCAGTCAACTCATCCAAGGCTCATTAAATCAACTCCATTATAGCTAATGTATTGTTGGTCAGTGGTTATGGGTTGCCTGTCCATTCAGGAGTAACAGACCACAGAACTGATGGGCATGCTGATTTAGTTTATTTGCACTGTAAAGTGAATACAAAGCAGCTATTATCCAAGAACCAAGAAAATATGAGAAACATAAAACTATAAATTCCAACTACTTTTATGTAATGTAACCTTCACATGAATCGAAATTAAAAGAAAACAAACACCACCAACTTGGTCCCTAAACCAGCAGGTAAAGATAAAGTAAGTAGAACAATCAATTGGTTTTATCATTAATTCACTTGCAAAATAACATTTAATTTAAGAATTGTGCTAATCAGACTGAAAAGTTTTTTATTTAATATTTTAGCATTTTTCCATTTACAAAAAAAAAAAACTGATACCACTGTGTCTTTTAATAAAGTGGAAATGCTTTATTTTCTTTTCAGATTTATACTCTCATCATCATGGTTTATAGATATGTTTTTTGTTTTTTTTTTTTTCAATTTGAATTACTGTTTATCTGGGTTTGCTGGCAGCAATTCAATTGTCACAATCAGAGTGTCAAACAATTCTTTGACTTTGCAAGAGGTCAGCTTGTGTAATCGGTCTTACAGAATACACAAACGCCATACTTCAATTAATTATTTTTTTGGCTTGTGTCTTTGATTGTCTTTCCTTAACTCACTTTGTTCCCTGTTGTGTTACTTCTAGCTGACAGCAGTTCTCTCAACATCAAGGAATGGTATTCATTTTAAAATGATCTTAATGTTATGGGGTAAGGTCTGTTACCTGTTTCTTGTACGCATTAATTAAATTTATGCACATCTCAACCTAAACGTCTTAAGGGCCACTTAAAAACCGTCTGTAGGTTTAAGGCGAATAGAGCTGTCCGAAAATGTATCTCAGACAAGTATAACATGACATACATTGCTGCTCAGGGAATTAGTGCATGTATGATTAACAGTGATTTTTCCCTTACATTTATGGCATTTGTTAATACAGCCACTGAACATCTGTAGTCGTCAAACATAAAAAGACTGAAAAGGAATGAACCAAAGTTGTATTTCAATGTTCACCCATTTGAATCTCATCACCTCCAGAGACCACCTTTGTTTAATTATAAAACACTTAATGTGCTGATGTGGATTCTGTACAGGAGCACACCACAGTCATTTAGATTAACAACCCATTCACTTCTGTTTACATGGGGCTCACATTCCTTTCATTTAGCAAGTGTACCACTTGATACATAAGCCATTCCCAGCAGCAATGATTTGTAAAAACAGCGACTTCTTCAGACAGTTTTTATGAATTGTGTCATAGATGTTATCATCTCTTGGGATAGGCGTTTGCTGATTTATGGTGGATAGTTCATACCCCTATGACACGGGCATGTATCTTTCCTTTTAATGTGATAGGGAAATAGTGCTGTATGTATCAACTCACTACACATGTTGCTCTGTTGTATGTTCACATTTTTCTTCTGTTTTTGCAAATATCTTTTTATTGATTATCAGCAATATATTGTAAAATATATTGCACGTTGTGTGTCATTTAAACACCAAACCTATTGGCCCATTTATCTAAAATATACAATACCCTTCTCTACTGTGTTACATATGGAATGAAATTCAGGGTCTCCTGGCTCCAGCCACTTGTAAGAAGCTCACCATCCTTTGACCCTTAAAAGGGTCACCTGGCCTGTAGTGAAATAAACAGCACCAATAAATTACAAGCCTGCTAGTTAACTAGACGTCTTTTCAGCTCTATGCAGAAATAAATGCAATTATCCACAATCAAATCTTTAAGACACAAAAAAAGATATCAGCATTTATTTCATTATCTTAAACACATGTATTACATTAAAAAAGTTAGATCGTGTGTTTGATAATCAAACACACGATCTACCACCACCAACATGCCAAACAAACAAAACAACATTGTGTTCACCAATTCTATTTATGGATCAGTGCATGACAGCTTCATGGCTCCAAGCTCACTGGGTATTCACATCTACATGATTTTTGCATTGTAAGTTTTTTAAAAGTGCATAATAAAGAGATAAAGTTATTGTTTGGAAGTACAAACCTGTAGCTCCTTTGTCTCCAGCTCTCTCCCTCACACCTGACTGGGAAACCAGGAGCAGGTCTGAAAAACCACTTCAGGTGCAATGATTGGCTGAATGCACTGCGTGACTGACACATTTTCTCTGTCCTTAGTGGCAAATCCTTCAGCCTCGAAAAATTTATAATATTGTATAATTGTATAATTAATCTTTCCTTCAATATGGCGTTACTTTGGCCTGTTTTCACCATAAACTGTCCACTTGGCACACCAATTTGTTTTTCCATGCTCCGTCTTTTTAATTTCTTAAAAGTAGATTATCAATTAAAATTCAGATTATGGATTTTTGACATTGTTAATCAATTCAGAATGATTCCTGTGTGCACCTTGATCTATTAAATATATTCCATCCTTATCCCCAGGAAACATTTTTTCCCACATATCTGCACTCTGAATATAACAGATGGTGTGTTACGATTATGTATTTCTTATTTCTAATGGTGTATGAATAAATTTATCATGACACTAAACAACATGCTTTTGATCTACAAAGTCTACGTCAAGAAAGTCAGCTTCATTATTTCGGTATGTTCAGCACGTGATGAGTGGTGAGAGAAACAAATCACATGAACTTCCTCTTCCCGTATTCGTCTTGCAAAGAATGTGTTTACAGTGGGTTTTATGAGGCAACTGAGGCACTTTCTCCACTTGTCTCTCAACAGGACTGAAGAGCTGAGACAGAGGAGGGCAGAGGTGTGCTGCATGGGGGCCAAAGCCAGGCCTTATGGCAGGAGGCACCCAGATCTCACTGAGCTATAATTACATCCTGTAGGAGCCTCTGAGGTGAAACAGTTCACACGAAGACACTGAAAGGTACACCATGGAAAGTTGCCAATATATTTGTGCAGAGATATGATTCTATAAATAGCATTGTTTGCTATTTATATAATTTTAAGCTTAATATGTAGGATTTTTATAACTTGACATTTTTAACTTCTGACTGTATAATGTTGTATAATTTCATTAAATTATAGAAATATACATTTTAATTCTGAACTACAGGTGACAACTATAATTCTTATGCTGTTTAGGAAATGCGTCCATAATTAATAATAAAAGATAATTTCCTTCACATTGTTAGACTGTGTTTGTAAAGGCATAGTTTTCCTTAAAAATTAGCTAATCTGAAACAGGTATCAACAAACAGAATCTTCTGCTTTGCTCTTAAGGCTGAACTTTTATACTCTTTAAATTTAGGAGCATGTGGAGTTTGGACCAAACATGTTTTCTTTGTGCCTACAGGGATTTTCTCAGAGTGCTCCGTCTTCTTCTGGCCCTCCAAAGAGTTGCAGGTTAATAAGTGATTATAAATCTTAACCACATGAATGATTTTTGCGTGGTTGTTCGTCTTTGTCTTTGTATTGGTCATTTGAAGACCTGGTAGCATGCCCCGGGTCTTACTCCTGTTAGTGACCCACAAAGTGTCCAACTCTATCTGGAATAGAGTATAAGTTATAAAAAATAGAGCAGATAGTTATGAAAATTAACACATGAATGAATTGAATAATGTTTGAATTAGAAGCATTCAAGGCAGAATTTTTGAATTATTTAATGTTAAGCAATTGCTCAACGTGCCAGTCAATAATTAATAAAATCATTGCCATGTATGTGCTTGAAAATGTTACAGTTTGAAGTGAAATTAAATTACACAAAGGGGTTCATCAGGTATGTGCTTCCTTTACTGTTAAATATCCATTTTGTCAGTGCCAGATGTGTTGTTTATGCAGCTTAGTCTTCGCCCCAACATGTAAATTGCTCTTTTAAGAAATCTAAAACAGCATAATTTTTTGCTTCTAAAGATATGTCTGACATCAAATGCTGCTCACAAAGATATTGTTCATTGCATTGGGGGGATGCTGCTTATCTCCAGCAGTCATTAGGACACAGAAGACAGACAACCATGCATGCACATGCACACACACGCATGCACACGCATACATGTTATTTTGTTTGTAAAACAACCAAAAAAATCCCCCCAATCTTTTTTAAAAGGCTTTTTAATTCCTGTAAATCACTTTATACTGCCTTGTTGCTGAAAAAATGCTATAAAATTACTTTGCAAGTGTGTGTGTGTGTATGGAAGGGTCCATACACACATACTCATCCTTTAAAGACACCAATCAACCTAACAGTCAAAGAAGTAGGAGTACCCAAAGAGAAGATACAAATGCACACCCTAACTCTATGCAGAAACACCCCAGCCTGAGACATGAACCCATGATTTTTTGCTGTAAGGCCACCTATACTAGGTGGTAGCTACCACCTATACTAGGTGGTAGCACTACCTGGCATAGGTGGTGGTGCTGTATAATTCAGTTCATAAAATTGTATCATACAGTTCTTATACCTACTTAAATTACAATACTTGTTTGGTGAAATACAAATTTGGTATAGTTCTATGTAATGATAGTAACTATACAAAAGTGAATCCAATGCAATGTAGTTATTTTCTCATGTCAAACTAATGTAGCACAGAGAGGGCAGAACACAAATCTGAGATCCAGTGAGAGACAAGAATTAAAGTTAAATAGTTCTCACAAGCGGTTCCTAACAAACCATAGCTCACATTGTGTACTATTCTACAGGTTATGAATTTCCCTTTTTACTTCTTGTGCCAACAGTTTTTATCCACGAGCCTTCACTCTGACACCCGAGGCAAACGCAGCTTATAATAGGCAGGTTAGCTGACAGAGCCTGGCTGCAGCAGAGGAGCCACGGGTTTTAACAAGTCTATGATGTATGCTGAGCAGCTTTAGATACAGCACACCGCTTGTCAATTTGTCCAAAACAGAAAGTACAGACGTTCTGTTTTGAAGGGAGTCAAGACATGTTGACAAAACAACAGCCTGAATCACAACAATTAGTGAAACTGTAATGCGATACCTACTGTATTTTTATTAATCATTAAATCTTTTATTGTAAGATATGTACATAAATATAATGAAGAAATTATTTTTGTCATAAATATTATGTTTTATAGTTAACACATTGGTTTTATTATACTTTCCACCGCTTTCTCAGACCACAGAGCCACTGGAACTGAATCATAGCTTTTGTTGCTTGTGCTCCTTAGCCAAATAAAAGCTCCACATCTGTTTAGTTTTAGTTTATAAAACCTACTTAGGGATGTTGCTGTTCAAAGCAATAACAACACACACAAGTGGGAAAATTGTTATAAAACAAATTGGTTAATGATCATGACTGGGTTAATGGCTGATCCACACAGCACCTCTCGGTCCCTGAGATGACGCTTCACATAAAATTCCTGCTTGCAACATAAAAATAACATAAAAATAATTCTCCTCATGCTAAAAACAAAAACATTGATTCCCTTTGAAACTGTGTGAAATGAGCCTGGATTAGAACTGTTTGTCCACTTTGTACAGATGTACTTGATGACGATGATTTGAAGTCCATTAGGGTGACATCAGCAATGTGTTTCCCAGCCTTTTCCAACTAATAAAAATCAATGAAATATTATTTTATATGTAATGTATGGTCACACATGTCAAAGTTACATCCACATTCATAGGAGGCTGCTTAGGCAGAATGCGGTCAAAAGCATTAAACTGCTCTTTTATGTTTCAATCTAAAGAATTATTTTATATTCATTTTACATGAAACTGAGACATTAGTTGAATATGATTGTCAGTAAATTTGATAAGACTTGTCTGGTTGTAATTTTATTTCGAACAGAATTACTCTTGTGGCTTCCAAGTGCATTGAATTTTAAATTGTTGACCCATGTGGTTAAAAGGTTTGGACACCTCTGATTGATATCATCTAAATTCCAGAACCAGACGTAAACAAGAAGGAGCAAAACATAGTTTATCTGCTTCTTACACATAAAGTTCAAGTTTTATTTTAACAAGTCATTTTATTTATATATTACCTTATTAAACCACCAATTTGATCTTAGCTTTTTTATGTGATACTTAAACTTTTTTATCATTGTTTTGAGGTATGTCATGTTTTTAATTATCTTCATCTGTTCTGCTTTTACTTTTTGTGAGGCACATTGAGTCACTTTTTGAATAATGAGACTATTCAGATGGACTTGTCCTGCCTAAGACCAAGCAGTAGATGAACTGGTGAACACACAGAGGTTTTAAATCCATTAGATTTGGCAAAAAACAAGCACAAAACACAGCTAAAGGGTTATTACTGTTTATTACTACTAATGTTTCTGTGAAATAGCTACAAACAACTAAAACAACTGTGTTTTTCACATCAACATATCTGAAGATGGATGTTTGGATGTGTTTTGACTGTGTTGTAACAGTTGTTTTTGCTCTTCTCGTTGATTATCTTAGATCGTGTGCCCATGAGGTCATCCATGCTGATCCTGTTTCTCGTCTTCAGTGCCCAGGCTGTGGCCCCCGTCGTAGGGGTCTCGTGCAGCGTCACAACAGCACAACAGGACAACCCCACCTCCATCCCCACTGTGGATCCCAAGCTCTTCAATAAGCGCCGCCACCTCTCACCCAGGGTGGTTTTCAGCTCACAGCCCCCCGATGCGGAGCCAGCAGGGGGTCAGGGTGTCGGCAGCAGGACTCGAAGGCACCCTCCGCACCGGGGGGTGTATTCGGTGTGTGAGAGTGTTAGTGTCTGGGTGGGCAACAAAACCAACGGCACAGACATCTCAGGCAATGAGGTGACAGTGCTCGAGTATGTGAATATAAACAATGTTACCAAGAAACAGTATTTCTTTGAGACGACGTGTCAAAGCCCTCCATCTGGAGGCTCAAAATGTTTAGGAATTGACGCGAGGCACTGGAACTCCCACTGCACCAACTCGCACACTTTTGTCCGAGCGCTCACTTCATTCAAGAACCTGGTGGCTTGGAGGCTCATTCGGATTAACGTGGCGTGTGTGTGTGTGCTCAGCCGCAAATCGTGGAAGGACTGAAGACTCACCCATAGACGGGCACACAGAACACAATATAGACAGACACATTAAAATGCAGACCAGTGTGTGTCTGCATATAACTTATCACCAATGACTTCTCACCCTCTGCACAAAGTAAATTATTCTTGTATGTGTCAAAGTATCAGGACTGCATTATATACACACCAGACCTGGGTTAAAGAGTATCTGCAAGTAGTTTTAGCCATTGAAGGATTAACATGATTGTGAAGGTGTTTTAATCGTTTGTTGTTTTTATAAAAGAGGCAGTTTGGTGAGGTACATGTGTTCTTTTGCAACTATTAAAGTTTATAGTTGGAAATTAGAAATGTTCTCCTAGTAAAACCCATTACCCGTACTGTTTAAAAGAGCTGCACAACTTCTTCAGTCTGCTACATTTAGGAGAATTTATTGATAATAAGATGTACAATATAAATTGATTCCAGCTATTTAAAGTCACATTAAAATTAGAGTTATATTATTGTATGGTGTAATTAGTCAGTAAAATAGAGTCATGTGAAAGAAATTAGTTTCCTCATTACAGATTTATAATGTTTCTATCTTTTGTTACACTTACATGTTTAGGACAGTCAAGCAAGTAGATAACCAGAATAAATACAAAGACAACTATTGTTAAATCATCATTGTATTTAGTAATGGAAAATTTGTTTACACTAACCTGAAAACTTAATTCCTAGGATTAACAACTTTTTAAATTTGGCTTTTCTCATTCTACCAATGCTAAATTACTCACTAAACAGCTCAGTAAAGAACCTGACTTTTGAAAGATTTCCAAAGTTATCTTTGTTCTAAAAAAACTTAAGATGTTTATGATGATGCCTAAAGTTTAGGGGGATTTTTTTGGTCTGAAGAGACATAAGTGGAACTTTTCAGCAAGTATGAATCAGTTTACATTTGGCACAAAACTAAAACATTTCCACAAAAAAACATGGTGGAGGGAGAGTGATGGTCTAGAACTTCCTTGTTTCTTCAATAACTTGTTGACTGACAAACTGATGGCACTGTGAATTAATCTTTTTACCAGAAAATCGGCCATCTTTTGGGACAATAAGCTGAAGTATCTGCCACTCAATAACTGTAAAAACAAAACAAAGATTTGGGAGGTGGATAATTTGGTGATAGTTTTATGCATTTAAATGTGACATTGAACCAAAAACAGAAGAAATATATCTAGAAATATATGTAGAGATATAAATAGAATTTAATAGAGCTATAAAGACTTTTTCACATAATCCCATTTATACAAGTCATACTGGTTGTTTGCCTTGGTTATTGTGTAAATCCAGAATAGTTTGACAGTCTAAAAACGGTGGAATAATCTATTGTATTTTATATTCATTTTCCATCAACATTAAAGATATTTTGATGGTTGCAAAAATTGAGGAAAATTTTTTTGGTATTAAAATAAGAGAACAATACGGGAATTAAAACCAGCCTTAAACTAAGCAGTGATGGAGGGTTACCGCGTTCAAAGACAATTTACCACAACCCACAAAACAGAACAATTTTAGGTCTTTCATAGTACAGATTTTTTTCTCTACTGAAGGAGCTGAATAATTGTCACATTTGGAAAGAAAAGTGAACACTATTCAGTTAGTTGCAGTCTAGCACTTTACCACAAGATATTCCTAAGCCAAAGTAAATTTAATGCAGTTTAAAAATGGCATATTTGTAGAATCTCTTGATAGTTTAAACTATACTTCCAAAATATCACTTTTACAAGAACAGCCTTAGTTTAAAACAGTGGTTGCCAAAGATTTTCTGGGCTTGCTTATGGATTACAATAAAATCCCCCCCAAAAAAGAAAAAAAGAAAAATCAGTTGGGCACACACATTGTTTAACCAGACATAAACATATACACATATTTTGTTTTCAAACTACACTGAAGTTTATTTCACACTTCAGGTTGCAACAAAACACACTACAAACCACCTTTACTTTAACAGTTTTTTTCATCCATCCAGCACCCTGTCCCCCTGCAAAGGCATTGCGCCCCCTCTTGAGTACTTACTGCTTAAAAAGGAATTAGGAAGTACTATTAAATGCACAGACTATCCAGTAGCATTTTTACTAATTTCAGCTTTCTCCTTACATTTTTGTATGATGTAGAGCCTAATCAAACCACAAAACTACAATAAAATTAGCCCCAAACCTGCAGATACCATGTTTGCTCTGCTGCAACGTGTAATTTAAAGGGTTATTTTTATGACCATGGGCAACATTTTATATCGGAAAAAGAATTATGATGTACTAAATTTGAGATTTGGATAAGGAAGCGGGCTTGTGGACCAAACCACAGCTGCACTGTAAACCACAGCTTATGAAAACACAGCATTTCGGTTTACAAGTCTTTTTGACTGTAGCTTTTACAAAGCAGAGGCTAAAATCTGTGTTGTTAATAGCAGCTGAGTCAGTCACAGTAAAAGGCCCGTAAAAGTTTTGGCACAGCAACACAGTCAAATTTTTTGTAATCATTTTTGCCTCACTGTTCACCATCTTAAAGAAAACTTGTCTAGCTGAGAAAGGCTAATAAAACCATTCAGCGGATACAATTTAACCCAGGTCTGTTATAAGCAATTGGTTCATTTTCTTAAATAATAAATAATTATGAGAATGTTGTTATTTATTAAACATATACAAACATGAACTGTATGTTTCATGAAGTGATTCCTGCAACTATGAAGAAACATCACAAAGAACCATATTTGATTAGCTGCTTTTGTGGAAAAAAAACGATTAATCTATATGTTTTTGACAGATCATGAACTTTATTTATTGCGTTGGCTGGTCTTTATGTTGATTCTTCTCACCATCATTCTACAATTGATATCAAACAACGCGTTTTAGAAATATCCATAAAAAAATAAGATGGCAAATGATTGATGATGCCTACTTACTGATCATACACTGAAAACAATAAGTCGTTGGATGAACATAACAAAATTATGGAAATGATTTCCACCTGATTACTTTTCTTGATTTCAGCACCATGTACTTGTGTTACTCCTGTTTAAAGCAAATGTGTTAGGTCAACCTAATTTTTGAAGACTATTCCAATGTAAATCAAACGTGTTGGCTCAACATAATATATTGTGTTTATTCTAATTTAAATAAAATGAGTTGGCAAAACATAATTTATTATGGTTGTTCTCATTTAAACCAAATGTGTTGGCTCAACCAGAATTACGGTAAAGCAATGGATGATTGTAAATCAAATGAGTTGGCTCTACTCCA